GTATTGTTATGCATAAAAAAGCAACTGCAAATGGTAATCTAAAAGGCTTAAGTAGCATTCAGCACTTCTTAGGCTATCAATAATAAATGATAAGCTTATGAGTTATTTAGAGTTAATCTCCATTTCTCTTTCTAAATCTGCTATTTCCAGTTGAACAGCCAACACTTGAGCAAGATTTGACCTCTACTCAACCTAGATAATCAACTATTCCTTGCTACTTTATTGAATCGAGCCTACAAACGTGTGAATCAGCAATTAACAAAAAAGTGAAGATGAGAAGTTCAGGTTCTGCAAGTGACCACCCAAGAAATGTTGTCAGTATAAGATTGACCGTCACTCTACCAAGAAAAATTCTTCATGGATTTCCTTGCCATCAATGAAGTTACTAAATTAGCCTCTGAGCATATTGATCATTAATTGTCATTGTGAGACGAACACTAAGTACCATTGGAATGAGATAATTTCAATTTCGACACATTTAAGGTAAAGATTTTTAAAGAGGAATTCTGCTACTCTTAAAGTGGAGTTCCTGAGCCGAGGGCCTATTGGAAACAGCATCTCTATCCTCACAAGGTAGGGGTAAGGTCTGCGTACATACTACCCTCCCCAGACCCCACGGTGTAGGACAATACTGGATATGTTGTTGTTGTTTTTGTTATTGGCTCAAGGGGCAAAGATATCTTTCCTTACCGATCAACTTGCAAGAGAAATCTGGACTGGAACTATTGATGATTCTACGTTAGCTCTAAAATAAGGAGACCACTTACAAGAGCTCATTGGATAAGAAAAGATGATGAATATGCGAATCTGCAGTGACCACTTTTTATAGCAAGGAGCTAACACAGGTAATCCTCAAAGAGGGAAAAATGATTCAAAACACAGAGAGAACAAGTGCAACAAAACTACCATAAATCAACTATCTTTCCCTTTTCAGTTTTATCCAAAACATGAAGGACTTTAAAAAGAATAACAAACATAAAGGGAAACAACAATCATTTCACCACACTAAATTCTACATATAGGAACAACCATATTTATGCAAAGAACATTTACTAAAGAGGGCCATTCACCCAGATTTTTGTTTAAGTACACGTGTACCACACTAAGAAGAATGTTTTCACTTCACAATTATAACTATCAACTACTTATATTCAAACAACTGTAGTATTCACAGTCCCTACGAATCACACTCATGTTCGCCCACCTTAAATGGTATAATCTCATTTAATAGTTGCTCTTATAGAGTTTAAAGGAAAAGTTCATTGATTTAAGTACCTGGGATTGAAGACTAAAAGGATGATATCAGGCTGAACCTTTGGGTAATGGTTACATATCTGCTGAAGAACATGAGACATCTCCTTTGCAGTATTTCCCTCAGTTTTGCATTATTACCTGTGAACTCCATAAGTTGATAAAGAAAATAATATATAGAAAGAGAGAAGGAGACAGGAACGCTGAGCATAAACAAACATAGCAAGAGTTCCCCAGATAAACAAGTTATTCACCCTCATAAGGTAATAGTACACCATCACCAAATACAAGAGCATGATATGCATGAGTTGTGCCGAGATAAGAATATTATCAGGAAATATCAACATAATCATAAGTCATAACCAAATTTGTCGAGATTGAATTAAGAACTAATGGAGCATATTTCTTAAATGACGCCTCAACTGGAAGCAGAGTAACTGTAAATTGTGGCAGTGGTGCAACATCTGAACTGTCAACCAAGAAAATGATGCTGTGTGGCTATAGTAACTACTCTACTAAGAGCCTGCCAATAATCTATTTAGCACTTAAAATAGACATATTGAGTGAACTGACGCAAGACCTGTTTAATAACATTAAACAGGATCACTTTATTGATTAAGTTCCACAGTTAATGCTATAAAATTTTCAAGTTACACAAATTTGACTCCCCATTTAATATTGCATGTCCATTAAAGGTAATATCAAGCTATTCTCCGACTACAAATAAAACTACTAGGTAAAAAAGGTAATATCAACGAAAAAGACTCATCCATACATCTACGTCATCTATGAGCACTAGAAATACTATTTCCTTGAGTACATACTTAGCCACGACAATGATGAATAGAAGTAGTACATGACGAATCGTTCACAAAGCACAACAATGAGATGTTATTATAGAAATCCTATCCTCAGACTGCGGCTTGTCTAACTTCAATCGTTGTACATTCTATCATCAGAAACAATTACAAGAGATACCAAAAACATATTTCTGAGGATTGCCTCGATACAGAACACACTTTTGGAAGGTAAATCCTAGTATACTGGACAGCTGTAATATAGTTCTTAAAAATAAGCTTTTGAAGCAGGAATGTGAGTTTACTGCTAACAAGTCACCACTAGGTATAAAGACAATCAATGCACCTTAACCTTGTTCATTACTGCCACAAAAACTCTAGGCTTGCTTCTTTGACTACCACAATGCATAGTTCCATCGTCAGCAGAGCATCCACCTAACTCGAACTATGCTACGTAGATAGATATAGGAAGTAAAATAACCAAATACCAGTTGCAGATTCATTACATTGTCACTGCATAATTCATCCAAAAATTTAGTATCTTCAACATAGAGAAGGCATCAAGTGAATCCCTAGCACTTCATTAAGAAAAACCTGATTTTCCAGCACGTTGAGAAGATTGGCAAACAATCATGCACTTCACCATGCTAATCATCTGCAGCAGCAGCCAAAGACATTCACCAGTTTATAGAGAGTAGTTGTAGAACTGGCCAAAGCTTTAGGCAAAGAGTCTCTGGATTGTACTTTGTTATTCTTGTAGTGATGTAGTTTCAATGAATTCAAATTTTTGCAGGATATCTTTCCCAGAGAGCAAAGTGTGCAATTGCACGTTTAGACTCGTCTGATTACCACTTTTAGGTTAATTTAACATTTTAACTATTTTGCTTCAATCAATCTGGATTAACCATAAGCCACAGATATAGAATCTTTTGGCATAAAAATGTTGCCTTAAATGAGCACGTTAAATGAATGTTCACCTCAATAATGCACAAACAAAAGTTCAACATTCTGATAAAGCGACGTGGCTTCATGTGATTTTTACTACACCAAATATTAACAGTATAAAGGATTTTTCAGGACTACATTCCACTTCAAGTAGTCACTAATTTGCTATGTGCATTATGGGAACCAAGGCATGAATATAACTAGCAGTGTTGAACACCAAGGACACAACCAGAAACAAAATACAAAATTATAAACTTCAACGAAAGATAAATCCTTCTAAGCTAGTTATAATCCAGTTTTAAGCAAAGAGGATAACCAAATGCGTGTGCACAACTCAATGCAGAGAAGAGTTTGTTAATTTGTTACGTAGTTATGTAACTACTACACTTGTGTGCAAAAGACGCTGCTTCTACATTACTGAAACTGTCTATTCACGTTATCTCAACCCGGTTTTTTCAAGATAATGCACATTTCTCAGGAAAAGAAGAACCCTATTTTTTTTTAATGAAGTACTGCAAATCATACGACATGAGAACGAGAAAAAAAATTACAAGCTACTTCTGAAATCTGCGGGATAGAAATGAACATCAATAAAAAAGATAAGGGCATAAACTCTACTAATGATCTCATAAGTCATTACTACAAATGACATTTCAGTACAGAGTAGAACTGTTTTAAATTCCTATATGGAATTAAAAAGAGAGAAAAATCTAACACTGTGGAAGAAGGGCTCAAAAAGAAAGAAAAAAACACAATTAAACCCGATTCTCTATAGCTTCCCAAGGGGAAGAAAAACAAAAGCACGAGTAATGGAAGAAAAGCACAAGATTCCAAGGATTGCAAAGAAACAAGACACACTTTTGGAAAGTAAATCCTACTATACTGGACAACTGTAACATACTTGAAAATAAGCTTTTTAAGCAGACATGTCAGTTTACTGCTCCCCACTGGGTATAAACACAACGAATGCACCTTAACCTTGCTCAACAGTCCCACAATAATTCTATGTTTTGCTTCTTTGACTAGCAGGACGAACAGTTCCATCTTCACCACAGCATGGAACTAATTGAAACTATGCTAAGTAGATAGCTTTAGAAAGTAAAATAATCAAATATCAATTTTAGATCAATACACAATTCATCCAAAACAATTAGTATCTCCCTGGCATATGGTCAACATAGAGAAGGCATCAAACCTGAGTTTTCAAGCAGCGATTGAGAAGATTGGCAAACAATTACTTGCTTCGCCGTGCTAATCATCTGTAGCAGCAGCCAAAAACATCACCATCTTTCAAAAAGTAGTCACATAAAAGCTTAAGGGAAGAGCCACATTCACCATTTTACAAAGAGTAGTCTCAGAATTGGCCCAAGCTTTAGGCAAAGAATCTCTGGATTATTCTTTCTTATTCTTGTAGTTTTCTCGAATTCAAAATGCGTGCATGATATTTCCCAGAAAGCAAAGAGCGTGATTGCACGTTTAGACTTGGCTTCTTACAGCTTTGAAGGTTAATTTAACATTTTAACTATTGTGCTTTTAATAAGTCTTAGATTAGCCACATGCCCCAATCAATCTAGATTAGCCATATGCCACAGATATATAAATGAGCACCTTGAATGATTGTTCACCTCAACGAAGCACAAACAAACGCTATTCAACATTAAAAAAAGTTGCTAATTTGGTATATGCAATATGCAAACCAAGGTATGAATGTAAAACAAGCTGAACAATACAAGCTCAATAATTAGCAATGCTGAATACCAGGGACACAACCAGAAGTTAAATGAACGTCAACTAAAATAGCAAAAGATAGTGACCAAATGCGTGTTCACTAGTCTAGGCAGAGAAGAGTTTGTTAAAATTTGTTACGTGATAATGCAACTAAAGCACTTGCGTGCAAAAGACGCTGCTTCAACGTTACTGGCACCGTCGATTCACGCTTTGACCCTTTTCTACAGATATGCCCATTACTCGGGAAAAAAAGAACCCTAAATCAATTCATACGAAACAAGAACGAGAACAATAATTTATAAGCATAAGGCATAAACTCCAACCATCTCATAACTACAAATGACATATCAGTACAGTAGAACTGTTGTTTCAAATGCCTACAGGGAATTAAAAGAAAAAAAGAAATCTAACATTGTGGACGAAGAAGAAAAAATTAAAACCCGATTGTCTATAGCTTCCAAAGGGCAAAATACCCAAATTACCCACCAAGATTCAGGAAATTTACAGGACTACCCCTACACAAACAAATCCTCCATTCCTGCTCTTTCACTTCCTTCCCCCTCTCCTCGTGGAGGCCTTCTTCGCTGGCGACTTGACGCTTCTAGCAGGTGTCTTCTTCGCTGGCTCCTTTTTGGCTGGCGCCACCTTAGGTGCTGCTTTCCGACTTGGAGTCGTCCTGGTAGCAGTCCTTGCAACCTTAGCTGGCTTCGTCTCCTTTGCCTTTGGCTTAGTCGCCGCCTTTGCCTTCACAGGAGTAGCTTTAGGCTTAGCAGCGGCAGCTCTGGGCTTAGCAGCAACAGTCGCTTTGGGCTTGGGCTTAGCAGCTGGCTTAGCCTTGGCAGCGGGTTTTGCCTTGGCAGCGGGCTTCGCCTTGGCAGCGGGCTTCGCCTTGGCAGCGGGCTTCGCCTTGGCAGCGGGCTTCGCCTTGGGCTTGGCAGCAGCTTTGGGCTTTGCAGCGGGCTTCGCCTTGGCTCCCTTGGGCTTAGCAGCTNGGCTTAGAAGCCGCAGCAGCAGAACGAGCCGATGTAAGCTTGTAGGAGCTCTTGACTTTCACCAGCTTACCAGAAGCAACAAACTTCTTCAATTGATTCAGCAACAGCTTTTTTAAATTCGGTGGAAGATTCTTCTGCTTATCCTCAATGAACTTCGTTATAGCGTACTGGCTTGATCCAGTTCTCTCCTTCAATGTCACAATTGCATCGCTAATCATCTGCAGCAACAACAAAAAAAGTTAACTTCAAAGCATAATTCAACCAAATCAAAAACATACATTAACAAAACTGAAAAACGAAAATACATGACAAGCTCCATTATCAATTACCTCAAAGTAAGGAGGATGAACTGAAGCGGTCTTCTTCCTGGGGGCAGCGGGTTTTTTAGCCTTAGGCTCTTTCTTAGATGTTACAGGCTTGGCTGGAGGGTTATTCTCCTCCTCCATGACCGGTTCAGGAGCGGCGGGTTCAACTGCAACCTCGTTTGCTACAACTGGTTCTTCAGTGGAGGCCATTTTCGAAGCAGAGAAATGTGAATCGAGAGAACTAGGGTTAGGGTTTAGCGAAGAATGAAAGGGGGGAAATGGGGAAGAATGGATCTGCTTGTGTGTAGAATCTACTGGGATTACTCTCTTTGATGTGAGTCTATGATGAAAATGAGAAGATTTATATAGTAAGAGTAAAAGGACTTCATATCCGAAAGCTGAAATCTGATTGGTTGATAACCTTTTGACGCGGATTCATGCCTTGCGAAAATTTTAAATTTAAGCCGTCGGATGTAATTTTATCAACGGCTTTGACCTCTAGGAGACTAGGACATGGATTGGGATTCAGAATGGGATGCATTTTCAAGTTGGTGGAGGTGTGCTTCTATGCTCAATTAATCTGGGCATAACTAGAGATATACTTAATGGATTTGAGTGAAATTTTTTTCTACTTGTAGAGAATTTCGTAAACTTTCTTTAGAGTATTTATTTTAAATTTTTGGATGATAAACCTGTGAGATAATTCGTGTGGAACAACAAGGTGTCATTTCAATGATTTTCTTGGAGTGTTTTGTGGTGTTTACTCATTTTAGGGAAAGTTTTTGCATAAAACTCCAGTTTTTTTTTGTGTGATTTGATAGTAGACTAACTGAGGAATCCGTAGAATCAAGAATCACAAAAATCCGACTAAATTTGACCATCGAAATATTGATTCAAATACCATTGAGGATGAACACATACCAAGAACATATTTGTAGTCTTTTAAATTGCAAGCATAAAGCAAATGTGTATATTTTCTTAACAGATCTCATTTAGCTTTTAAGATGTTTGTTCACTCGTGTACTTGTTAATGATTGAATGTAATATAGTGTAAAAGTTAATGTGTTATTTATGAGAATGATACATAAAATTGTTTGTCGTAGTTCTACATGCTACAAATTTTATTGCCCTCTTGTTACCTTACGTGATGCCACACTTGGTTAATACATAAGTTTTTAGTATCATGAAAAAATTCAATGTTGTAATAGAGCATAACATTATGTCAATTTACATGTAGATTATATTCTTTTTATTGTGGTAAGTTCATTATTGCTATTTTATGTAGTATGACAAGTATGCCTTCCAAATCAACTAACACAAATACATTATGTAGAGCCATAATATTATTTGTGTAGTGCATCTTCAAGTATTACTATCTCGTACATTTCAATTTTCTTCGAATTATCACAATTTAAAGTTAGTATCTATTGTTTGAAATGATAAATATTAAGTAACTTTTGCATTTACTTGTGAAATATTGCATAGACTATCTATATAGGTTTTTTAAATGTCATATCAAACTTCTTCTTAACTTTAACTTTATCTTGTATCAGTATTGATTATCTTTATTTGTGTATTGATTATCTTTATTTGTGTATACTGTCAAAGGACTATTTGATCGCTAACAACAACAACAACAAAAAAATCCAGTTCAATCCCATATGTGGGATTTAGGAAGGATAGCATATACGCAGACCTTAATCGTACCTTATGAATAAAGAGAGGTTGTTTTCGATGGATCCCCATCTCAAGAACAGCAAAAGGACACAATAAACAAGCATTAACAATGACAAGGAAATAAGGTAAAAGCAACAAATATCACAACATGTAATAGCAGAGAAACTAGGAATACGAAGCTTCTTCGTCATCCATCACTAGGGAATTGACTTATAGCCCGTTTGAACAAACTTCTAAAATCAGCTTATTTTGAGAAGTGCTTTTCTACTTTTGGTGAAAAGTAGTTTGTGTGTTACAACCATATCCACATGTGTTAGTTCATGCCATATATTAGTTAACATAAATCCAAGAAGGAATTATCTTTGAGATTATAAGAAGTCAATCCTATTGGTCTTAAGTGATACAAGAGTGTATAAGGGTGATTAACCAGTATTAGAAGTTAAACGAATCAAGGATGTTGTAACTCGTATTTTCAGGTAATCTAGCGGTGCTTAATACACTCAAGAGGTCATTTATTAAGGTATTTTAATCATATAATATCCGTATCATAAGTCTTGAAGTCAAACGAGTTATGAAACAAAAGTCGACAAAAGTTGTCGCAACTTAGGTTCATAATTTTACTTAAACATT